ATATTTTTGAGAGCGCCCCTTTAGTATCAGCCACTGTTGTTTTCATATGACAAATTCCTTAAATCCATATTGATTTCAGGCACACCAATATTAACAACAATGCTATTAACATCTCTTGGACTTTTGTTTTAAAAAACTTTTAATGTGTAACCTTTTTTAATCACAAACACTGTATGCTGGCATGGGCTACTAGGAGATGCTAGAATAGCAGAGTATCATGTTACAGAAAGCAGGGAAAATGGCTTAGATCCAAAGATCTCCCTATCTCGTTTAGCGGCTGAAATAACGTAATCCCATGAAAAACAAAACTGAAATACAGAATACATTCCCTGAAGGAACTGTAAAGAGCCTTACAATTAGCAATGAAATAAATTTCACGATGAAGCATCTTTGCAGTAAACAGTGTCCAGGTAAGGCACAAAACGTTAAGAGACTTGCCAAAACTCTAATGCATATACTTTCCCTTTCATAAGATATCTCATAAACATCTGCTGCCAGCGATGGCAGGCAGTATGTCTGGGACTGTTTGCAGAACTGAATCTCAACGCCATATGACTCCAGACCCAGCAACTGCTCTAGTAACAAACTATTGCTTGAGTTACAGGACATTACTAGATTCCTTACAATTAGGATAATTTTATTACATGGTAAGCATATTTCAAAACTAATGCATTTTCAATCATTGTATCTTTCACTCTTGTATTAAGCTAAATTTTAATTTTTACTATTGATACCTCCTTCCCATCAGACTCTCTTGCTGTTGAGGCTATGGATACGGACAACAACCACTTCTTTGAATCAGGTTCTCAAGACCCAACATGCAAGAAAGCACCTTCCAAATAATCGCTTCAGATTCATGTAATTTGGCTTTAAAATTCTGCCATTATCCCAAATCCCAATCCCAAAGATGCTGAAGTATTTATACTCAAAACCACATGTTTTGCAGTGTAAGTGCTGCAATGTACTGGTCCCACTTAAGGTATTATGGTCCTACTTAATTCACTGGCAAGCTTCCCATTTCAGTGTAGGAGAACTGCCCAGCTGATGATTACCAGTGGGATAAAAAGTATGTCTTTGTCTCTTTTCTGTACAAGACTAGCATGTGACAGAAGTGCTTTGCCAATAGAAAAGTCTGTCCAAGGTCAGCAGTTCTGTTGCCGAAAGGTCTAACACGTCAGCCAGTAAGAAAATATCGACGAAAACTACTTTGAGAAGCAAGTCATTCCACACATAGCTCAGGACTGTACAGCCTACAGCCTTGTTTACACGTATAGAGGCTAAACTTAAACTGTACTATGTAGCTTTTGCTTCTAACTGCAAAAAAATTGCTAGAGGAAATATACAGACTGATTAACACATTATTAATAGTTATTAATAGCTATTACTTAGCGGTCCAGAACTGGACTGCTTTCTTTCTGAACACACACATACAAGATGTTTCCTGCAGAATTTCTGATCTGCCTTATGGCTCTATTAGAGATAGTTCATTTTGGCTCACTAAGAAACACCAGTTGGTGTCACAGGCCATTCTCAATTTGACTGCTAAATACTTTCCTTTATTAGATCGACACTCTTCCTACAGGACAGATCTTCAAGAAATGGAAAACCTAAAAGGATTTTTAGCATGGGGGGGGGGGCAGGGAGAAGAAATGATTATGCTTATGTTGTATGAAATTCATTCTTCCAAAAACAGGAGAACACTAAAAAAAAGGAAACATAAGCAGAAGAAATCAGAAACATTGTCGCTGAAGATTTTTGAGGTATAGAGAAATAAAATAGCATATATCACTAGATGCACAAGAAATCTCTGATTTTGTAGTTTTGGTGAAAAGTTTTTCTGAAAAGTTAATTATAAACTTACATGAACAATCAGTTGACCAACCACTGAAACAGCCTATTTCCTTTACTCTGAATATTCTGACTACCTACATAATGACACGTTCTAGAAACACTAAAAGCTTCATATGCCACTGTCACATTTTTTCTTTTAACAAAAGTTTATTGTTTTCAAGTAACAAGAACTTACAAATTTTATTCTACAATCACTCCAACTTGTGTGCAAAAAACCAAAATTCAATACTTAAAATCTGTAAACCTTAATAAGCTACCATCATATTCAGCATCAACATTAGAATCATGCTTTTTACGAGAGTCACGGGTTTTGCTACAATGAGCAACAGATTACTACAAAAAGGCTTACAAAAGCAGTATGGAGAAGCTTTCAAATGTTTGGATGACTTGAGTTTGAATCTCTCCAGGTAAGAAAATTCACATTCTTGCCTGCTTTTTTCCAGCACTTTCTGATTTTACAGAAATATCTGCTTGTAAAAACACACTTTCCAGATTGCTTAATTGCTTAATGCTTTTGACCAAGCAGTGGAAAGGTGTGGGGCTTAGCAAAAATTCTTTATGAAACCTCAAGACTGAACAGACAACAGATTCCCTGAAACATCTGCTCTCACCTTCTGACAAAATTTTAATGACCTTCAGCTGACTTAGGATTTTGCACTGAAGAAACCACAAAATGTGCAAAGTGAAAGGAAAACCAAAAGCAACTACCTTACACTCCTTGCAACAAGAAGAATGTTGCTTACAAGCAGCTCTGATGGCTACAGCTGGACTGGGGCAGAAGAGGGACCTAAACTTCAGTTTTGCAAGCACTCAACTACTTGCCTAAAGGAATGGCTGCTGGGTTGTTTTTCTTGTTGCTGCTGTGGCACAAAGATGAGTTTAAGAAATTTTTTAAAATTATTTTTAAAGTTCAAGACTTCTGCTTATTACCATAAATGTAGAGAAACCAGTAAACACCAGATCTGAGTTTTCAAGCTTCCTAGCTCCACCAGTGTTATGTGCTCTATAAAGATGTGCATGTCTAAATTTTGAATGCTGTTTTAGCAGCGAGAAATTTGTGACCACCAATATGCCAAAAAACACTCCCAATTGTCATTTCACTTGTCCAATAACTTGCTTGATAAACCTTTCTCTAGTTTCAGTTTTCTGATCTGTTAGAACGTGTTCATTCCTGTCCTGCTGTAACTCACAGGCCTCAATGAACCAAGTTTATTGTGCAACAGCGTGAGCAGAGAGGCTGGAGTCCTTCAGGCTGCAACTACAGCCTCAAGAATTCCTAACAGGAGAGGGAACTGGCAAATTTAGCGGACTAAATCTATAGCAGCAGCTTTAAACTGAAATACATGACATGGATATTTAAAAAAAAAAAAAAAAAAAAGGCAGCATAAACCAAGAGCTCAGGGGAAAGGAGATAAGGAGTAGCATGGGAAAGAAAAACTTTGCCACTTTCCCATACATGCCAACAGCCTGGTTATTTTTAAGCAAAAAATGTTACTCTCTTTCTGCTCTGCCCATTCCAAAAATGTTCAAGTGGCTCGGGACATTTTAACATACTTAAGGGAATTTTTCTGCCAGCAGTCTTCAGATGCTGACACGTAAATCTGACAGAAAAATTACATTTAATAATGATTTTAATTATAGGTAATGTGGCTACTTTCACTGTCCTGACAAGTAAGCTGCGTTCTCGTCCATTTTCTACCAAATGTACAAATAGCTAAGGAAGCTCTTTTGACAGAATTACTGGTTTATTTCATCAAACAAGTTAGTGTTGGTGGCTGCTATACAAACCGTTCGCATGAAAAAATGAACGCTAGTGTGTATAGGTGTATATAATGTATGAAAAATACGTTTGGATGAAACCAGGACAAATTAGAACCGATAAGATCACCCTACAAGAGGTCCAGAACATTTGGTTTTCCTGGACTGTGGGTGGCTTACATTATTGCTTCACTTTTGAAGAGTCACTTTTTTGGTAAAATTCTGGAGTTCACATTACAGTTCAGCCTGTTCCCCGTAATAAGCTCCCATCTACAGGCAAATCTTTCTGTAGAACTAGTTACAGCTCCAGCAGGGATCAAGGAGAAGAAAGCACAAAAGAGGTGAGAAGCAATTCAAGAATGAGCACTTTACTTTCTTGTACTTGAGCAGTAGCTGAGTTGCTTATCAGCCAGAAGTGAGACAGAGCAGCTGTCAAACAAGAGTACTGGGATTTGGAACTTCCAGTACAGCTGGACAGTTCTAGTGATAATTACACCAAGCTAGCAAGAAAGGCCTTGTGTAGCTCCATTTTTGTTATTTGCTATGGCAATTTTTAAGACAGACCTAAGGATGGATTGACAGGTGAAAAGAAATTAAAGTGTGAGAGGCAGGGTTTACAAATTTCAGCTGACTCCTCTCTCCATCCCTCTCAGTAGACCAGGCTCCAAAATGGAAGCACAAATGTAGGTAGACTCAGGGCTTTGTAACCCAGGAACATGAGGGGTTACAACAGGGAAGGGCACAGTTCACAAATGCACACAAGATGGACACAGATCTAAAGAAATTCCACATGATCTCCAACTTGCCGCATGCTAGAGAGATGTAGAAATATACCACAAGATGTTATGGTGTTAATATAAATATTCCAGGACCCTCTAAGGTTTTGAATTAAGGACCTGCTTCTGAATAAACAATTATACAAACGACCTTCCATTCTGTGGATACAACCTCAATAACACATTACCTCGTAACAACTTTGATATACTTTCACTTAGAAAGAACTGATATTTTTAAGGCAATTTGATGACACTTCCCGCAGCGTTAACCTTCTCTGAGTGGTCAAGACTGCAGCCAAGCAGCATGCTTTTTTATGTAAAGTGTATCAAGGCTTGAGGAGAAAAGAGCATCTTCTAATTGCCTAACACCTAAGCCAAGTCAGGCGGACAGGGAAATAGATGGTAACAGGTCTACGGTGTTTGTCGTTAGAGATCAAGCCAGAATTATGAACCGCCAGTTAGTTCTGATCAAAACACCGGTTTGGGTTTTTATTTTCCCCACCCTCTCTTTTTCTTCACATCTATTTCACACTGCTTAGAAGGCCTTTCCTGACATAACCTCCACCCAGCTGCCCTAGCCCACAAGGAATGCTTTATTCACTGAGACGCACTTACCCAAATAGTTGTTGCTCTTTGACATCTCAGTAATGTTGATTTTAGTAGCTCCTTCAGGAATTTCCACTATCTTGTGGTAGCCAAGATTTGTTAGCGTGTGTTTGAAAACTCCAGACACCACCTTGCAAGCAGTGTTGTCCCCTCCACATATTCCACACTTGTCAATCACCTTGTCCGAACCCAGATAGTCATCACAGCCAATGCTCTGGAAAATAAAATAAGATTTCTTTTTGCAAGATCTTACAACCGCAGACTTCGGATATAACAACCGAAGACAGTATGACTTTCAAGGAACATTCAATCCCAAAAGGATTTTGTGAATTAGCACTTCAGCAATTCCCTCCTTTGTTCTTCTGTAAGCAATACAGCACAGAGGATTCACAGCCTTGGGGATTTCAGGTTAGCTGACAGGTTTTTACAGCCTGTTACCAAAAATACAAGAACACACTAATGAACACTAATGCATTGATCACCCACCTCAGATGAAAGAAAAGAATCTCTTAACAACATAGTCCCTATAGCTACTAGTCAGAAAAGAGGTGAAGAGCTATGATTTTATTATGATCCAAAATGGTTTTTTTACAAAATCAGAACTACTTTCTAATATAAAGTGTTGTCTTAATCTCCTCTAAAATTGGGCACTGAGTCTATTCTCACCAGAAGAGCGTTTCTAGAAAGTCTTTATACTGCATCTAAACAGTTACAGAAGCGATCCTCCTGCTTGCTGAGTAGAAAATCTTCAACCTACTTGGTTGTAACACCCACTTGGACAGGTTAGCTTAAAAAAATACTAAAGTAACTTAAAATAATGTAAATTAACACACAGAAAAAACGTTAGATTTGACACAAACCACAAAAAAAAAATCTTTCCAACTTATTGCACTTTAAAAGTGCACATACTGTAAAGGCTATCTTCTCTTTCACAGAAACATTTCTGTTCACTTGATCTTGCTGTTTCGTATTTAGACTTTAACATTTATGATGAATACTTATCATCTACCTATATGATTAACTGGCACATTCAAAAAAGAACTCCTCATTCTCATTCAGATAAGAATTAAATAATACACGAGCCAGTAGAACAGAAGCCTATCACATATTTTATGAAATTTCCTAATTTGATGGCAAACATTCAAAATAAATGGCAGAGTATTGTTCTACTACTTCAAATAATGACAAATACTTGCAAATTCTTGCAAAATTCTGGATGAAAAAATGGTTAATTATTGTTTTACGGTCTTTCCTGGAAGCAAACATCCAAGTAAGAGGTGAAAGAAAAAGAATTTCTTGATACCACCAACTTACAATATAGGAAGTCTCTTGAGCCTTGGCATCACTGTATTTCTTTCCTATTCCAAATATTAAAGCTTGGCCCTTGCTGCGAAAAATGTTCTAAACGGCAAGCCAGAGTCTGCCTAGTTCCAATATAAATATTTAACAGCCAACATGTTTTTTATGTCTATCCAAGAAACAGAGACAAAATCATCTAACTCATCACTGCCAGGATCATATGGAGCTTGACAATGATACCTGTTTGTAGTCATGAAGGAAGAGAATGAGGAAGATTCCCAAGCACTCCATGTTTCATGGTGGGATAACCTGGTAACTAAAACTCTGTTCCATCCCATCAATCTAGTGTGTGCAGATTGTTACATGACTTCAAATAGAAACACTTGGTTTAACATCTTGCATTTGCATTGCTTGGTGGAAATCTTAAAATCATGTATGAGTTCAATTTTTGTGTTTTGCCTCAAAACACATTTTATTACTATCATAGGAATTACAAGTGTCACTATACCAAATCATACCATATCATTTCAGACCTGCTAAAACAACCTGAAAACTGTGACTGATCTCAGTTGAAGACAGCTGTGCCCAATGCTGATTACTCTCTGTGCTAGTCCTCCTTAAAGGATATTTTGCTGAGAGTATTTACAGTTTTGCTACCATGTATTTTTTGGATGGAAATGTGGTGGTACTTAGCATCAGCCTATGTTATTCAGTGACTTTCAGGAAATTTCCACTGCCAGCAAGTTGTTCTATGGAGGGAACCCTTTCAAGTGTGAGGTGTTACACAGTACCAATTCCTAGCACAAATGGTATTGTCCATCACTGCTGAGTCCCACACAAGTTAATGCAGGAAGTTCCACCTCAACATGAGGAAAAACTTCTTTACATTAAGGGTGACAGAGCCCTGGGACAGGCTGCCCAGGGAGGCTGTGGAATCTCCTCTCTGGAGATACTCAAAACCCGCCTGGATGCAATCCTGTGCAGCCTGCTGTAGGTGAAAGTCCTTTGGCAGGGGGCTGGACTAGCTGATCGCCAGAGGTCCCTTCCAGCCCCTGCCAGTCTGTGATTCTATAATACAGTTTTCTTCCTCTTAGCAAATAAAAGAGAATAAAGAAAAGTGTCTTTTATTCATTGAGACCATAATGCAGAACTACTGTGGGTCAGTTTGAACAGAATTACTTTTCACAGAAGAAACACAGCCATTAGTACAAATGGGATTCCTTTTTAGGGAATAAATATCAAACCTGTTTTAAACTCACACGTCATTCTTAGTCAAATGTTGACTGACATACAAAACAGCTGCCCATCTTTGGCTGTACTATTTGGAATTCTTCCCATACAGGGTAAAAGGAGCCTGGGTCTCAAAAAGTGCCCATAATGTTTAAATGCTCTTTCACACAAATAACTGAGAAAGGTATAAAGAATAAATTACTGGAGACAAGGGCCTAATAATCTGAAACCAGCAACTGACAATGAGGAAAAACCCACAGAACCACAAGTGTATAAATAAGATAAACAATAACATAACAAATAAGTAACTCAAAATAAATAAAACCAATAAATAATAAGATTACAAATGATATATATTATGCTGAGTGCACTTATGTATACATTTTACGTACCAACGGAACAGGTATTTAGCAACAAATTACAATTTTACAAAGAACAATTAAAAATCTTTACTGGGCTGTCTACTGAGGCTGCCATGGAAATGATGTGCTTTGAAGATAAATATTACACAGATTTCAGAAGAGGCCAGTTATAACTAATACATTCTAAAAAGCCTTGACATGTGCTTAATACAGTTTAGGCAGGCATATGAAAATGACCATGTATTCTCTACTATTTCCAGATCCAGGAAGAGCACCATATAGCACGCCTGGTCCCACGTGTTCTATGGGAATCTCCCTTTCTAACTGTGTAAAGCATAGATTTCTAGCACTGACAGGTCATGACATATTTGATCAGACACCTGTTACCGGTCCAGGACTCAATACTTAGGATGTCCTGGGCCTTAGTCCATAGTAATTTTAGGAAGATGAAAGAAACACCTTTCTGGCAAGCTGATTCTGTTTTCTTTCTGATTTTAAACAGTTGCTTGAAGCTGTGCAGAGATTTAGGATGGTAGTGATCCTTGTAGAACTAGGCTGGCAAACAGAATTCACCCAAATTAACCACAAACACAGAATCCATGCAACTGTACTGAACAGATAATTCAGCTTTTTGTTTTGTTTTGTTTTGTTATGACAGAAATTTAAGAAGTACCACCTTTCTACTTGGCTAATGCACATTCATATAAAAATATGAACCGACCATCTTTCAGGATGTCGTATTCATCACATTTAAGTACATGTATACACAGCAAACAAATCCTCTTATCACACTGCCTAATACACTGTGATATATCAGCAAGAAAAAACTACGTTAAGGAAAGAAGTGATACAAACTGGAATCCACTATGTGTGTTCCTTCCAATATTTCCTGTGAGAACATGAATAAGTCTTAACTATGTCAATAGATATAAAGGTTGGAAATGTTGCTAGATAAGCTGATAGGTCTGAAATCTCAGAGAGTCTCCTTGTACAGCTCTGGAAGGCTGGGATGTAAAGTGGGTGCCAAATACATTAACACCCAGCTTAACAGCCCAGTACACTCCCAGAGATGAAAGAAGGCCAATGAAGAATTCACGATTGTTTCTCATCATGTACTGCACATTTATGGAATCCGAAAGCAGATGTCACTTTTAGAGCCACATCACATACAACATTCCTACTATGAATGTAGAAATATTAGGACTGTGAATACGAGATGACAACGGTAAATGCATTCTGCCCACCAAAGGGGTTTTGGACAGGACTACTGCCATAGATAGCTGTTCCTTGGCTATCAACGCAAGGAGGTCAAGAACACATCTGTCCCTTAACACATTTGCTTGCAAAGTATTGTTTCTTAAAGAGGCACTTTCGACTTGCAGTATCTATACATCTTCTGTATTGCTCAAGTATTTTTGCAAAGTGATTCAAGAAACTCTTTTAAGTTACAAGTTCGCATGGAAGACACTGTTCAAGAATTACAACCAACTGTACGCCAAAATTAATTTAAACAAAAACCCTTGAGAGAAACAAGGGTCAACCTGTACGAAATATTCAGTGGTGGACTTAATAGGGATTTAGGACTACATATACAATAGAATGGGGCTGGTGCCATGCACCTGAAAACACGAAGTGCTGATGCAATGGAAAGCAGATGTTACAATTCCAGTACTAAACAATTCTATTAAAAATTGCCATCTATGTGGTAAAGCGGCATACGTAATACAACATGATAATAATTTGCTTCTGTTGCTTTAGCTGCATTGTATTATCAGGTAGGAAAGCCACAGTTATGTGTTGTAGTATATTAACACCATTAACTTAAAAAACTAGTTCCATTGACAAGTAGTTAGCTAAAAGTTGTAATATACAAGTAATTTGTAGTCTGGGCATCCATGGGGCTAGAAGGCAGAAGAATAAAATGTTTACTAGAAGTCATACTTAAGTGTAAGTAAAAAAATTCTAAGAAAAGGGTCAGGGACAGTTATGGATGTACCACAGCTGTTACAGCTGCTAAAGAAATGTTAGGCAGGGTAATGTGAGAAGAGTAATCAAGCAAGGTGCTAAAACACCCCTAAAGAAGTTCAGTGGGCAGCAGCAGAATACCTAGCTACTGGTGGAGACCTGCTTTAACAGTGCCTATTATCAACACATCCTAGTTCTACAAACTGCTGAGGGCACTGCTAATTAAGACTTATATGCTACTGTCCTATGAAACAGAGCTTCATGGGAGTCATTATATTTGCTGTTCTGCTTGAGCAATACCACATCTCCCTGAACTTAGTGCCACTGATTTAGCCACCAAAACACACGTACTCTTTCA